CGGCAGCGCCCGGCAGCTCCCGCCAATGCCCGCTCTCAGGTATTTGCGCTCTCCGCCCTGCGCAGCCGCGCCCCGCCCGGGCTCTCCCGCTCTCCTGAGGGCCCCTCGGCGGGAGGGCTGGGGCCCAGGGGTGCGGGGCCGAGCGATGGCGCTGGAGCTCGGGTCCTGGCACTAAACTGCATCTTTCCCATTGACTCCTGGGGTAGAAACAGGGAGAAGGTGCGAATTTTCTTCTCCCTTTCCGGTCTCTCGAAGGCAAAGGAGGAAAGGCAAGTGGTGGGCAAAGTATCAAGGTGCTATTGGGTCTCCTCCTTGTCCACCAGCAGCACTGACATGCCATCTGATGATTAAAAATTTGTCAAACTGACATCTCAGCTGGGGAGGACAAAGCCTGGTAGGCCCCCCAGCCCCATGGCCTGGACAGTCAATGGGAAGGGAACACTGACAAGGTTGTGTGGCTGCTTTCTGGCCAATGTTATGTGGCTGTGGACTAAGAACCTCAGTGGTGTTTCTTCTCATAGCTTTGCTCCCCAGGAAGCCTGTCAGTGACAAAACACTGGCTTTTCACAGGACCTAGGCTTGCTTGTGTCTGTCAGTCGGAAAGCTGCCCCCCCAAACAAAAAAAAACCTGTACTCCACAGCCCCTCATGTTATTTATTTTCTGTTTTACAGGCACTAGCCACATTGTGATGCTGCTTGGTGAAGATACAAGTGTTGAAAATGTCACCTCAGGAGCTTGCTGCACTGCTCTGCAAAGAAGGGGACCACCATCTTGCCCAGCAGGAGTTACCAATAGCCACTGCTTTCTACGTGGCTGCCTTCAGCTGCAGTGCCTCCACAGCAGTACAGAAAGTGAACTCCTTGGACAAAGGGCTCTGGGAGAAAGTGATAGCCACTCTGGAGATGTGGTGCAAAGGCAAGAATCAGATTCCCAAGATCCAGAGCAAGAACTTGGCTGTTGTCTCCCTCAGTGTGGGAATAGCTGCCATCTTTCTCTCCACCTTAAGTCCCAACAATGTGGTATCCTCAGTGTATAAACTGGAGACCCTGCTCAGGCGAGGATGCTCAGAGGAGGTGGTGAGTAAATGCAATACCCTGCTCAAGGCTAACCCAAAGTACTCAATGGAACTGCTGCTGCTGAGGGCGTTGGCATGCGTGCTGTCAGGGACACAAGGGAAGGGAGTTGCAGACTATATCCAAGCCTTTGTGATGCATCGGGCTGAGGCAGTGGCCTATGTGTGTACTAGGCAAAGGGAATACCTGCCACGGGTCATCCAGGCCTTCTCTAATTGTCTCGCAACATTTCAGAAAGAAAGCCCAGACTGCAGTTCCTTGGACCAGTGGCTGGGCAACTGCTATGACTTCCTGTCTGCAGTGGCACCGGATGATATCTGGGTTTGCAGGGCGCAGGCAGCTTACCTCTTTAAGAAAAGCAAATTTGAGGAGTGTGTGGCAGTTTGTAGCAAGGCCCTCAAGGGCTTCTCAGCTGATAATAATCTCAGAGATGAAAAACCTTTGGGTCTGCTATTGGAACGGGCTGCTGCATATTTCTTCTTGGGTGGACGGATGCAGGAAATGATGCAGGATTTAGCAGAAGCCTTTGCAGCAACCCCTGCCCAGGCAATGAGACACTTTGAAGAGCTTTTCTCACCACGTGACACTGAGAGGATAGAAGAACAGGCTAGAACTGTCCTGGAGGTGAAGTTTGCAGCATACAGGGAGGCTGTGCGTACTCGGACTGAACTCAGAGGCAATCATGGTACTGAACTGCTCCCTTCTGTCATCCAGACAGTCCAGTTCCTCCTTCAGATCTCCCCAGGGTCCAAACGTGAGCTCAGTGTTCGGCTAGCAGACTGCCATCTCCTGCACGGACACATCAGAACTGCCCTGGATATCTGTGACCACCTCTTGGCAGCAGAGCAGAAAACTTACTGCAATACTCTCTTAGCATTGCGAGGATTCTGCTCCCTCCACACTCATGACCATCAGCAAGCTCTGCAGGACTTTCAAAAGGTCATTGAGCATGATTCCCCACATCCTAACAGCTGTATTAAAGCCTTATGTGGGCGGGGACTTATCCGGATTTCTGGTGGCAGCCATTACTTGACAGCCCTGGATTATATCACAGCTTGCCAGTTAAAGCTGGAAGAAACCACCTTCACAATCAAGTCCTATGTGCCATGGAACCAAAGAGGACTGCTGCTAAAAGTTCTTCAAGAAGAAGGACAGAAGATGCTCCAGAAGCAGAGGTACCCAGGAGGCAGTTCACCTGTGGGCAGAACAGGGCTTTCTAACAGAAAGAGAGTGGCTTGAGTTGTAGAGAGGGTACTTGCTTCAGATAACTGAGAACAGGGTAAAGACCTTTTTAAAGTTCATAGTTAACATAACAGGTTGAAATAAAACTGCAGGGGTGTGGTTATTCCAGCAAAACATTGTTTTGGTGGTTTGTCAGAATGCGATAGGATCCATGTAGCCAAATCAGCACAATCTTTCTATGGAAGTTAATCCATGATATACCAGTTGGCCTAAGCTAGGAGTGAGCAAGATGCTAGAGGGAATATGACAGAGATTTCTCCTCTAAAGGAGTAGATACACACATAATAAAACAGAATCATTGGTGCTAGCTGGCTCCTTTCACTCTCAGCTCTGAACTGAGGGCTTTGGGGGGCCATGAAGTACCCAGCCCCTAGAAAGTGTACTTCCAAGACAGAGCTGAGGTGCTACTATGCACGTACTTGGTGCTGGCAATCCAAATTCTTTTTTCAGTGTTAACTGTATTAATGTTATATTTAAGGCTGGGAGATCTGAGACAGGAACACCAAACTACTCCAGCTAAATCCATTAGAAAATCCATTAAAACCTGAGTTTGAAGGTAAAAACAAGGTGTAACAGAGGGACTCTGAGGTTTTAATACTTAAAATCGTCTTTCTAAAGATCAGAAGATTGCTCATCAAAGTAGTATCTTTATTAGCTTTTTATTTTTTCCAACACAAAACAAGCTGCTGTTTAAATCTAAAAGTTTCAGTGTTTCAAAGTTTTGTCTGATACCACCCCAGGCAAAGTCTTCCATTTTCTCCAAAACTGGCTTTTTATGTTACTTTCTCAGTTTTTGCTCACATGAAATACTAGTATTTCAGGGGAAAACTTGAAAATTTGAACTGGGAAATAGCGTGTGAAAGTTCATCTCGGATGGTTGCTCTTTACAACTGATACCCACATTTATTTAGTCTCTTAATAATTTTAGTGCTATTATGGGCTTTTTCTTCAGTTGCATGACGCCTATTTCATACCCAGTACTTGGGGCCTGCACTCCAGTGGTATAACTGAAGGACAGAAAAACGTGCTAACTCATTCATTGTTGCGCTGGCAGATCGGTGCACAAACACAAGCCCCCTTAGACACACGTCACTGCTTCTGGAACGAGAAGCTACCTATTAACACAGTTCTTTCTAAGTCCATGCAAATTTTAACACACAGCTCTTCATTAGAAATGGTGATTTCCCCTCCTTCTCCCCCCGCCCCGTTACGTTTTCCTTTTCCCATTGTGGTATCAGCTGCAACCACAGATATGAATCATTATTTGTTAACCTTTCTTTAGAGCCATAACTGCTTAAGAACATGTTTTTATAAAGAGGGGTTATGATTACGGAATTAAGTGGCAGAGATATCTGTGGTACTGGATATGATAAAATGTATCATCTCTTTTGATACTGACTGATAGCCTGCTTCTTAGCTTCCAGGTGAGACAAAGAGGCCTTGTTACTCTCATTAGCATTTTTTCCTTGAAGGTGGTCTTTCCCTTTTTCTTAAAAAAATTTTTTTTCCTCCAGAGATGCCCCTGGGGTTTACCAGCTGGCTTCCCTGTTGGTGGAGCTGGACGCTTCTGATGAAGCATCACGGATCCTTTGTGCTGATGCCCTGTACCAGATGGGCTGTGTAGAAGAAGCTCACAAGCTCCTCTTACTCGCACTCTCAGGAAATCGACAAAGCTCTCCCATCCTGGCTAGACTCGCGCTTCTGCAGTTGAAGAAAGGTTTCATGTATGATGGCGACCAGGTAAGGAGCACCTGGCTAGCCGAGAGAATGAGTCATCAGTGATGGTATGGTGAAGAGGGGTAACAACCCTTTTGGCTGATACAGAAGACGCATGGTAGAACTTAAGAGGGACCACCTTAGAGACATAGACTTGTCAGAGGGTGTTCCAAGGGCTTTCAGTTTCCCAGCACAGTGCTCTGCTTGTCTCCTGCTCCTCAGTGTTATATGACAACTGTAAGGCTCTGGCCACCTCACCACGTGGTGCAAAGTCGGAAGCCACCCCATCACACAACCTGTGATGGGTTTTCCAGTGGGGCTGCACCTACACCAACCTGTGCGTCAAGACATTTCTCAGGAAATGGTTGTAAACTGGTAAATGCAGGCCTCACAAGTAGGACTTTCTGTCTGTAGCACAGGCCACACAAGGACTCCTAGCTAAATACAGCCCATTCATCACATGCTATTTAATGGCACTTTTCATCAGAGATTTAACTACGCAGAGCATGACTGAGCATCCTGCCCCTTCTGACAGTATTGATGGGATTGGTAATTTTCCCCTAGGGAAAAGAAGGCAGAACTTCTACCTATCTGATTATCCTAATGAAGCATTGGGGTGGGGGGCAAGAAACAAAACCGGAAGCTCAAATATCAGTCTGCAGTTTTCTGTTTTTAGTGGCTAATGACTTGTGCTTGAAACCATGAAAGAGATTCCAACATGTTAGTTCTCCTACCAAGGATTAGGTAGCTGAATTACCAGGTTCTGCCATCAGAGGGAACTATTGCATTTTTTAAAATCCCATATAAATTCTACTAGCAATAAAGAGGAAGGTTTTGTTGTCACTACTGCACTACTCCCCATGAAAAATAAAAGTTTTGTATAATTTGCTGCCTTTGGGAAGGCTATTAATGAATGACATGACTTTATAGAGTTCATATGTTGCCCTTGGAGGTTGGATTCCTGTCTGCAGCTTCTGCTACAAGTTCTAGATGGAACATATGTGTCATCGAAAACCTGTCTTCAAAATGTTTTTGTCCCACCTGCCTGTCAGCACCCAGACACTTGTATCTGTTAATAAAAATACAGACAGTAATAAGTTCCATGGATGTGTCTGGTGCATCACGATAACTTTGTTCTTGTCCTTGCTTCTCTGGCTCAGATTTGAATGTTGAGTACCTGCTAAGCACATTTGCTTTACCAGAGGAAACACCTTTTGATTCTTTTCCTTAGGAAATGTAGTAAAAAAGTGCTTGGCAATTTTCACTTTAGTGAATGGAGGCAAAGATACCATATGTCAGGCAAGATTCTTTTCCAGGAGGACAGTAGCTTGTGGATTTGAATCCGTACTTTTCCCAGATTCCCAATAGCAATACTAAAAGAAAGACACAGCACTGAACTGATTTTTCATTAATTCACTGATTTCCATTTTACAGTCAAAAGGGGTCACTGGAATCCTTCTGTTCCACAGAAACTTTCTCTCTTTGGGGCAATCATCCTGTGGTTCAGCTGTATTTATAAAAACAGTTAACTGCCAGTCTGGAACAGATGCTGCCCAAAGTAAGCAAAGCAGCATTAGTATTTCCCCAGAATGATTTACACAGCTGCAGTGGTGGTGACAAAAGATAAGCAGCAATGTTTTCTCCAATGTGCATTTGCACTAGGGCCAGCTGATGAGTTAAGTAAAAGAGATCCATGGTCCTTAGCTGGACTGTGGCTGGCTGAAGCCCCAGTGAAATGTGGGGAAGCACTGGGTAAGAACATACGTGTCTCACCAGACAGTAATATTTCCAGCTTTAACATGATTTAATTTATCTTTTCTTGCTAACCTTTCTCTTCTACCTTTTCCTCTCACATCGTTAAGCTGCTAAAGAAAGTGATCAGAATTGGAGATACCTCCTGCCTCCTGACAATCATGGACGTTTTCAAAGATGAAGACCGGAAGTTGATGCAAACTCACTGCCATTTCAGAGCACTGACCATCTTGAAGGACAAACAGGAGGATGCTGACATCAAAGAGGCCATTGCTTACCTTTCCTTTGCCATCATTGCTTCAGGTAGGGTTGTCAAGATACTGATAGGAGATTTACTTCTATGGGAAATCAGATCAGTGGGTAGGCAAGCATGTCCAGCCAATTCTCATCTGTCATTTCCCCAATGAGAAGATTGAAACAGTAGACTTACAAAGGCAGGTGAGGAGCAGGATAAAATTTGTTTAAAGTAGCAACTCATCTGGACCATGTAATAGTGCAATTAAACAGTGACTGCAGTTCTTACAGTCCCGTAAGTAGCTTGTGAACTCCTTGAAATGGGTTGCAAGGGTCCAGTTCAGTTCTACAGGGACATCAGCCCCTTTTCTTCACCTGTCCAGAAAGCCCAGCATGTGATTTTGTTCTGTTGTTTAGCACATGAAATCCTCCTGGAGCACAGCTAAGGATTATTTTAAATTGCATTGTTCACATGCTAAAAGTTAAGTTCAGGCATAAACCACCCTTACTGGGTCATATCAACACAAAGAACCTACAATTCCTTCATAACTTGGAAAAGATCTTTAACATCCTGAACCCATCTATTTCCAGCTGGTAGTTTGAGATTTCCAATCTAATCATTTCCCTGTTTTTCCTGCTCCAGAAAAGTAATGTGCAGAGTGTACAGAAAACACAATGTATGTCTTCTTTACACTTTACAATCTTTTGTTATTGTAGACCTGCTACCAAACAGCGGACTGCAATTACTGTTCAGTTGCTGTAGGTTGCTTCAGAGTATGGACAAATTGATCTGTTACCATAATTTTTTTCATACATAGGGTCACAGATTTTCTCACAAGTACAGCTGTGCTGTTGAACAAACTACATGTTTTAATGTTAGCAGTGCTATCTTCTCAGAGCCATTAGGTTATTTTGCTTTTTATGTGCCATGCTTTCCTTCTTTACTGTGGTTTAAAAAAAGACCTTTTTAGGATAAGCAGTGCAATGCTGTTCTTCCATTGGTAAAGGAAAACCAGAATGACAGGGGGATTCTTCTGTATTTAATGTAGGGAGGCTGTTTTACAGCCACAGATACATGCACAAAATACAGGTAAAAGTCTCAAGGAAATCCTACAGAATTACTTTTCCTTCCATAAAACTTGATTTTTCAGTAAGTAACTCTGCACACAGTTGACTGAGGTAAGCCTGAAGCCTTGCAATGTCAAGAGAAGCCAGGGATTTTTGATCCTGTTGTCCAACTGCTAGGTTGGATGACCATATTTTTGGAAATGTTTCCCTAGAAAATTAAACTTGATCTAGAAAGAGATGAGAGCTTCTTTGAAAATACAACATAATTGTTTCTTAAAGAGATCAAAGCCAAACTTGTGATAAATGAGAGGGGAATTTGGTTCCTGTGAGCAGTTAGTCCTTGAAAGAGTGGGAAGGAAGGGACACTTCACAAAAAATCCCCCTTTCAGAAGAAAGAAGAAGCCTTCACCTATTTGTTGTGTAACTTTTAGAGGAGATGCTACCTGGTAAGTAATTTGGAAAAGTTACTGAAACAGAGCCAGCTTCAGCCCATTTTAGATGAGCAGTGTAGAAGGCTCCCCCGTTTCAGCCTTAGTTTGTAACATCAATTAGTACTCTGAAAACCTTACTGCCAATGAAATTTATTTGGTACCTCCTGTTTCGTTAGAATGAACACACTGTAAGTACAGTCATTGCAGCAAACAACCTGCCTTCTTGTTACAACAGACCAATGAATGTGTAGTTCCAGTGCAAAAGAGTGAATGCACCCACTTACATGCATCATTATCCTAGCTTTTCCTAAGGAGAGAGATCAGGCTAACATGGGAGTGCTTCTGGCATGTTCCAAGTAAAGCCATGTTTGTATGGAAATCTGCCTTTGACTCTGAGCAAATATTATGACAGCAGCATTGAGAAGAAGAGAGATTGGCTTATGAAAATGAAAAAAAAAAAACTGTTAATTGCTTTGAGATGGTTCCATTTCACAGCCCATGCATTCCAGCTTATCAACTCCCCACCTGCTAGAACAGATGCTTGTTAAGAAATAGATATTGTCTTTATGGGAGCCAATTGATAGAGCTCCAGAGCGATAATAACCTTTGGTACAGAAGTTTTAGAGCATATCAGGAAGGAGAAAAAGCCTCATTACTGTAAAAGAATTTCTAGGAGCCTGTCTGCTGGCTCATCTCTGCAGGCAGCTGTGCAAGACGCTGCATTTGCTGACCTCCCTAGGAAAAAATATTTACAGTGGCACTAATGTTTTATCATCCAGTATCGGGATGCCACAGTTAGTGATTGCAACCCTAGGCAAATTAAGATCCTTATCGAAATTGCCTTGAAAGGAAGGAGCGTGTAGATGGCAGAAAGATACATGCTCTGCAACCAGTGAATGAATGGACCATGATTTTCATTGTCAACTATATGTGTTTATTTGGGCAGCACTTACTTGAAAGTAGAGAAAAAAGAATCTTAGTATCACAAATCCCAGTGCATATAAAGTGTGGCAGTAAATTAGTCAGTCTTGTCTGGATTACTGGATGTTGTTTATATCCAAAACAACGTGTACCTTCTGATTCCACTTTATTAAAACAGCCAAATGGCCTTATGCCTCCATCCTCACATATCTTCCTTTTAGTGCTTTCTTGTCTCATTTGTGCTGCTCCTATTCCATCATACTAAAATCTCCAAGGATTCCTTCCAATGAATTGGATCCTAATCCAGCTCAGATCCTGAGATGACGGTCATGTCATTGGTAGGTTGCCTCCATTTGTTGCACATTAATGATGTCTTTGGAGAAAGGTGTGGTGGAGGGATAGATGTGGAGATATGAAGACATTCCCTTTTACAATAGTCTCATCTTTCTTTGCTGCTTTCCAGAGCAGCATGACAATGCTGTCTTTTAGAAGTCCCCTTGAAAATGCACGGAAGGTGATAGGGCAGAATAATAAAGGCTAAAGCTTTCCAGACCTCCACAAAAATTGATAGAAGTAGTTTCATTACAACTGGCAAACATGGAATTTCTCTGTACTGTCAGCTGGCTGAGTCTAGGTATCCCAGAGAAGGTAGAAAAAAAAATTGCCTGCATGGGAAGGTTGAGTGCTTAATAATTGCAGGCCACTCCTTTTGCTTCCTGTGGCTGTTCCTGAGGAGACCCACTCTTGCTGAGACCTTGAGGCAATCAGAAAAGCAGTCATGGATATTTGAGGAGAGACAGTGTTGATCAACATGTGTATTTGTTTTTATTAGAAGCCAGGAAGCTTTTGAGCTAGTTGAGCAATGTGATTTTATGATTTTCATTCTGTTACCTCTTCTACTCATTCAATTTTTATTACAATGTTCTTTTGGCATGTTTAACTAGACTGAAGGCTCTTTGAAGTGGGGCCTTTATTTTTGGTGTGCCTGGCACAGCGTGGTTACTGTTCCCGTCTGGAAAGTTAGAGTTGAGTCACAGTATGACAGTTACAGTTATAAATCAAATTGCAGCCATGCAACTACTCTCAGCAAAGTGCCCTTTCTTTCTGTAAATCACTGTTAGAATTATTTTTTTTCCTCTCTGTACTATTTCCAGAACTGGTTCTTCTGTTTATAACATGCAGAATCTCTCTTTTGTGAAAAATTCATCTTAGTAGCAAAATATATTCCCTGAAAAGTTTTTTTGTGCATACGGCAGCCCAGACTTTTTTATTGCTTCAGGCTTGCCTGTTTCTTGGTGGCCTATAGAGAAAATACGAAGATATATATACTGGTTTCTGCTGTCAGCCACCCATAAATGAGAAATGTGGCTAGCTTTATCTCACAGAGAGAAAGACCAGGCTCACGTTTGTATTCACATTGGTGGGTGAGCCTGCTGGCTGTGTGGGAAAGCTTCTAGGCTGACATTGGTATTATGTTAGCATAACACCCAAACTGCCTTGTCTCTATGTCCCATTAATGTTTCTATGGCTTGTGTCAAACACATTGAAATTACCCCAGCCAGCCGTGAAATATGTGTTTCCCGAGTTAGATGATGACATTCAAAGAAACTGAGTGCTTTTTCTGAGGTTAGATAGGAATTTTGAAGCAAAGCTAAACATTGAACTCCAGTCCTGAGCAGCAACACTGAATGACAACTCACCATTTCCCTGCAGAATGACATTGGTGTGTACACCACAAGACCTAGAACATCAGAGTAGCCTTGTCTTTGTAATACACACCAGGAAACACTTTCAAGACTTCACCAGTGAAAATTCATTCTTTGACAGAATTCTCAGCAGGACACTTAACTGATCCACTACTCTGTTTTGGAAACCAACCTGACACAATTTTTTTTTTTTTTCCTTTCAACTCAGAACTGATAGTATGCAACAGGAATTCCACTGGCAACAAAAATAAAGGAAACTACCACTTAAGTACTCTCATAGTACTTAATCAGGTATCCTCAGGTAAAATGGAATTTTTCTATAGCTTCATATGGATATCCTTGGATATCCTCTCCAGCACCCTCCTAATTCTTCTTCCAGTCACGTCTGTGGACTGCAGTTCCTTACCATAGCACATTTGCTTCCATCCAGCACGCCCCTCTTATTCCAACCTTGCCACAGCTCTGAATAAAGTGATCCTTACTTTTCATTCCTGCAGTCACCATAACACTACGTGTAGATCTACTGCATCATTTTCACTTAGCTGCTTTGAAGCCCTTCAGTGGGGCTTAGTGGTCTGCACACACTGGGATTTACTGCACCCTGATTTAGAGCAGTAGACTTGAGACCTTTCAAGTAAGCATGGCTGCATTTCTCTCCTCCAGGTGGTTATGCTGAAGATTGCCTTCTCATCAGGGCTCGATGTTATGGGCGCCTTGGTCAGAAGAAAACTGCTATTTTTGATTATAATGCCATCCTAAAGGAGGACCCTAAGAACGTGCAAGCTCTGAGTGGACGAGGATTCATTTACCTTACTCTGAAGCAGCAGAAGGTATTATCACTATATTGATTTGCTGGTGATTTTTCTGATGGTATTAAGCAATATTAGTGTAAGGTACCACAGGCTTTGTCATGGACTCACTGAAATCAAGAATTTCTCACAGAATTTGGTCAGTGAAGGCTCTTGTTTTGGCTGGATGTGCAAGTAGTCCACTTGACATTACTGATTTGCTTTCCTAAGTCTAGAGAAAGGAAAACTAAACCTTAATCATAGATCGTATTCACTGTCACTACTATGCATGGATTTGCAGTGCTGCAAACTCTCCCCTATATTTGGTCTCACATTTTTATGACATGATGTTGTGCTAGATGAAAGGTAGCGACAAGAGGAAAAAGAAAGAACAGTTTCAAGGTTTAGCGAGTCCCTCTCCATCGTCTGTGAAAAGCTCATGTGGGCAATTAGCGTTACTTTGGAGACTGCAGTATATCATTGCCTGGAAATCATGTCAGATGTTTGCATGGTTTATTTTCTTGTAATATCGTCAATAGACTTTACCTGCATATCACACCAATCTTACAGTGAATGACACGGTGCATCTCCAATTGAGCGTGTGGATTTATGCTGGTTTATCCTGCTTGCACTTACTCATTCACAGCATCTCTTTCTTGTTGCTGTAAGAATTTTTTCAGTGATAATCTGAGGAGTTTAAAACACTTTGCCAGTAGTCATTCAAGCCTATCTTTATGCTCTTATATCAGCTTTGCAAATGGAAAAGATGCAGCACAAGGACAGGAAAGAGCAAAGAGCTTCCAAAGGCGTGCAGCTGACCTATGGGACAGCAGAGAACTGAAAGCACCTGAGAGAACAAATTATCAGTACGTTGTTATTGCTACCATTTCATTTTTTGGTCTTGTTTTTACATAGGAGGCAGTACAAGATTTGATCTCGGCACTGAAAGTGGAGGCCGGAGCAGTGATCCCAGCAATCCTGTCTTTAAAGCCTGAAGCCCAAGGGTTGATCACTCAATGGCTTCTTCAGCATGGCAGGACTGCGTTAACTGAGCTTGTTGCTACTAAAGACCTTTCAAAAGAAGAAACCCTCAGGGATCTTCTCATGATTGCAAAAGCACTAATTAAAATTTGCAAGGATGCACAATATCACATCTTCTACATAGATGTTTTGATTGCAAATGGTAAGTTCCCATTCTTTTACATAGCTGATCAGACAAAGTGAATGAGCAGTAAATTAAAAGAAAGTAAATATTACATGGCAAGTGTATTGTTGTATAGTACTTTTCAAGAGAAGTTTGCAAATATTTTGGGAAAGGGTATGAAGTAAGTAATACCCTTAGATGTGGACAGGCTACCTAAATCCTGCTTTAGAAAGTTTTCTGGATGTTTCTTTCTCCACATGGAATGGGTTATATAGCTTGTACTGGTGTTAACCAACAGGAAGGTATGAAGAGGCCCTTGATCACCTTCAGGACGCATTTGGCCACTCTCTTGCTGATGATTTTGCTAGTGCAAGACTAGCTGTGCTGCAGCTGAAGAGGAGGAACGTGCCAGTGGCAGCTCACTCATTCAGCATCCTAGCTAAGAAAGATGAAAGAGAATTGGGGTTTCTCCTGAACTTTGTAGACGCTAAGCAACAGCAGCATCTCTCTCAGGTACAATCCTTTTTTGATGTGACATCTGTGGATTCAGTAAGGAGATTTTCCCTGCCTTGTCTTTAACAGAAGTGTGTGGGAAGACCATTTATCAGATGAACGAGGAACAAATTGGCTTGTTCCTCCAGCCTTCACTTCAGCCAGAATAGGGAGTTGAATCCAAACTTCTTTCGTTGCAGTGACCTTGCTCCAGTCTATAATAATTCATCATTACCACTTATTACCACTTGGGGGAATTTCTTGTTGGTCTCCCTTGCATGAGACCTGTTTAGTCCCAATGCTGAAATGCAGGGGATGTGAGGGGCAGCAGCCACAGATTTAACAAGATCATTGCTAGTATTGTACTCTGTATGAGTTACGTGGTGCTCGTAGCTGCCTTCTGGGGAAGGGGCGTTCATGTTTTGTTCATTTTCTTGATGAAATGAAACTGAAGGTTCTGATTCAGTCACATTAAATGCTTCAATCCTTTTTTCCCCTGTTGTGTAACGTTTAGAAATTTAAATATATTCACGTTTTTATAAAATGACTAGCCTTTGAGGTTGGCATTGGTTTTCTTAGATAAAACTGTTCAACACAAAAATGGCACATTGCTCTAGTCCACCCAAGTATGTATTTTTCAGTATTTTTTTCAAGTTTCTCCCCCAAAGTGCATCCAGCTCTGAGAAAGCATCTCCAATAATAAGACAGGACAAGGTCAGATTGATGGTGAGGAGTTTTAACATTCACTCAAGCATCTGCAATTCTGATTACCCAGAAGCTCTGTGTTCTGAGAATCAGTTTGCTTCCTTTTATTCAATTTGTAGACTGTGTGCACCCTGGTGAGAAGCTATATTGTTATACTTTCTCCCAGGTTATAAAACAAACAACGTGCTGATATACTTAATGCATCTTGAGAGGAGTACTTTGTATGTATTTTAGCAAAACAGCAGGAAGATATAAGTAAACAAGTATTAATTTACCGGTCCCTAGATATACCCCATTACAGGGAAAAGAGCCCCTCTCTTCTGAATAATCTAAAAAGTTCAGTCTTATGGGGAAGAGTTTGAAGATTTTAGAGCCAATTTTCAATCTTTCACTATATAAAGTTGATAAAGACACAATCAGGAATGTGTCTATGGAGGCCCTAAGGAGGTGTCTATAAATGAAGATATATTTTACAGCTGCCACATCACTCGTTCTGTATGGAAGCCTCCCAGCTAAGTCCATCCGTGCTGCTTTCCGAGAAAACACAGGAGCGATTTTCTTATGCTGTCAATAAGAAAAAAAAAAGAGAAGAAAAAAAAACCAAACTAATTTTGGTACAGCTTAAACTGCACTGATGTATTAGGAACTCACTGGTGCCACAGATTAGTGAAACCTTTAAAATGGGAGAGGCACTTTATTTCTGTCTTTTTTTGGCAGCTGTCAACAGGGTCTGGAATAAAACCCTGTACTGGTAGCTTATTTATCATGAAAGATTTCTCTGCCACTTGAGAGAATAGGGGTGGCTGGACTGATTTCAAGACTGGAACTCAATACCAGTGTTGGAAGTAAAATAGAGGTTTGGGTTTTGGTTTTTTTATCTTTAATCTTGTGCTTTTGTTCAACTGAGAAAACATATGGACTCCAGCACCTGGGAGTCTTTCCATATTCTCTAATCTTCAAAGATTTACTGAGTGTGATTACTTTTATTACTGATTAGCCCAGAATCACAAAGGTTTTTTTAATATGTATTTTGTGACAAGGGGATAAGCGTGTACTTTGCTGGAGTGGGGAAGGAATCGGTTAATTCACCTGCCCAGTGTCTCAAAGGATTTTCCAGTAGCACTTCCTTTTGCCTGCAAGGTTACTGCAGTTTGTGTGTGAAAGGAAGATCTCGGTAAAAGCAAAAAAGCTTACAGACAAAATTAGTGCCCAAAACCCAATGATGGCCTGCCTTTGCCATGTAACGACACTCCAGGGGAGCGTGTTCTTTCTGTTACCTCCATTTCATAAGTAAGGAGACTGAAGCAAAGAAGACTTTAGTGGTTTATGCTCAGCCCTCAGTCTCAGCACTCCAGGCACAAAAGTATTACTGCCACATTGTTTTAGACTGTTTGGAGATTACAGGCATTATAGAAATGTGTCATCATTATCCTGGAGTCTGGTCTGAAAAGCTAAAAATAATTCTACATAAGCTGAATAGGAAAGGGTGGAGGAAGGAGAGCTCCTTGATGTACTGATTTTTTTTTCATGAAAAACAAAGCAATAAAATTCTTCCATTATTTATAGTCTAAGGGGTCCCATGCTAAGAAATTTGTAAACAACGGGGAGAGCCACATGGGAATAGGAATCTGAAAGATTTATTAAACTGCAAAAGGTCAGAGGAAGGGAGTTTGCTTGCCGCTAGAGCAGCTTCAACCCTTCAGTTTCCTATGTCAGAGGTTAAATGCATGACTGATTGCTAGCTCCTTGCCCAGATCCTCAGAGCTGCACTTTCTGTTGGCTGTTGACATGCCATAGGATATCCAGAGCCGACTCCTACAGAAATGGTCTCAAAAGCTATATGGTCTCTGTCAGAATTAGGCCCTCAGCCCAAGGTAAAGTTGCCATTCCACATGCCTTCGTGGCCTGTAGACCCCAAATAGGGTCTGCAGGTAAAGACAGACAGACTTCTTCCAAACTGTTCTGAAAACATCCAACCCTCTTCCAAAGCTCAATGCTTATCAATCCGTCTTTTGGTATTTACTGCTCAGAGACTAACCCTCAGCCACAATTCCCTGTCCGTTAACCTCCTCACTTAGTTGCTTTCTAAGGAATTGAACCTTGGTCAATTTCAAGATGAGATTAGTCACTAGGGACTGGAACCAAAAATGCAACAAAAATAGGTGTATTTTCAGTCCTTCATTGCACAGTGAGGTAACTAGATGGTAGAAAGGGACACAGAGCCGTAATCCAGGACACAGCCCAATCACCAGTCGCTTATGGCCTGCCAAGCCCTTTCCAGATGGCACCAGAATCATTTCAGTCTGGAAGCCATAATCAAATCTTTAGTGACAAGTCTGAAGATGGACTACAGTTCATCTGTGAATGGACTACATAGCCTGCTCTTGGCCTTCCAAAGTTACCTGCAGCAAGGCTCATGGCGAAAAAGTACTTCTTAAAAGCCACATGGCGTATCCATCTGGCTTTCTACGCGCTTCCTATATCTTCTTTCCATAAGTTGTCTTTTCATATTTACCTTTGTTCAGAAGATGATGTGCAAGTAAGCTGCTAATTAATCCAGCTGTGTTATACACCAAAAATGAGTCCCAGCTCAGTTCCTTTAAGTCAGGCAGAGCCAAAAGAGAATCCAGCTGCCTAATACCCATGTTTACTCCATCAGTGAAGATGAGAAAGAATTATTTATTCTCAGATTCTCCTTTTTCCTCCAAGTACAGCAGGAAATCCAGAATCTTATGGCTTGCTTACTTTGGGGACCATCAGTGAAATGTGAAGAAGTCAAAGCAGTGGCTCAGTTAATAAGTGGCAGCATCGTATGTGGTGCAGTAAACCAAAATGATCCTGGTTAGCACCCTAGCAGGTTCAGCATTAGATTAGTCATTCAGGAGAACAACAAAAATTACTTTTTTCTTCTGCCATTGAAACAACAAATGCACTTTTAAAGGCTGAAAATTACACTTTAACTATATGAATGCAAGGTATTTTGAGGAACCACACTGTGCTCTTTAAAACAATATGATCTAGAACTTTAGAATTTCTAGGAAAAAAAAAATCTCTTGTCAGGATGCTCCTCACGTGCAGGTGCAATTCCACCTTGATCCCTTGTTAAAACCCTGCCACTGAGAAAATGCTTGCATTGACTGGTTGCCTTAAAAACACTTGAAAGGACAAACTAGATTTGCTGCTCTTTAAATGTATACACAGACAGACATCCGAGATGTTTTTGGACAGGCTGCCTTACAATTTATGGCCAGAACTATTAAAGCCAGTGATTGACACTATTTGAGGAGAGGTCCTGTCTCTATTTCTATGTGTGGAAGCTGAGAGACTCTCTAATAAATATGACTACATAAAAGGATTTTACATTCCTTTATAGCAAAATAACCGGGGTAGAATTCTTCATAAACTGTTAGGAATGGCTAAATTATTTCACGTGACTGGTCTCAGATGAGGTGCTCAGACTTGACCTGCAATATTGATCCATTTCATCCAGAACCTGTTTTCCTTAGTTCTGTTAAACAGCAATCAGTTCTAATCCAAGTCAACCAAAATAAAAAGACAAAGCAAAGAGACTGAAAGACCTGACCTGTCAAGTGTGGCTCCTGAGACAGTGGCTGGGCTAACTGAATTTGGGGGAGCCACAAGCATCCAAAGGCAACGTGTGATATCGCATGGAATGAGATTGATGAAAACATTTAACCTGTGCTTGAAGTCTCAGCTTGTTTGGCTCAGCCTTCTGTAAGACCTAAGCTGCTGGTGGCAGTCTTGTTTATAACTTAAATATTCACTCTGCTGCAGCATGTTAAAAGCTTTGTTTATTACCAATAAAGGGAAATAATGAAAAATCCATTTGAGGCAAATAGTTCTAATGGCGTTTTCTTTATTGACCTTTATGAACCTAAAAATTATGCGGCTCTTTCTGCCTTCTCTGTTTTCTTGTTGTTGTTTTTCCCTTCAGATAAGAGCAGATAGTTCACTTGCGCTGGAGATTAATGATTAGCAAAGCCATCAGTTGGACATTTTTTTCCTATAGCTTGGGTAAAATTCAGTGGAGACCAGCCTTCATTATTAGCACATGCAAATATTTGTGGGGCAGTACATGGGGCTAATTATCTATTGACCAGAAGGTGCAATTTCCATATAGTCACCTGTTAGAGCAGACCATGGCAGAAATTTGGTTTCATGAAGAGAACACTGTCTACTTCTAGAGTTTGGTCTATTCAGTTTTCAGTTCATGTATCATTCCTAAGGAACGTAAACAACTTCAGAAGAAATGTTCTGAGAAAGTTTTAGCAAAACATGCAGAAACAAAGAAGAGTGGTTCAGAAACTCTGGAGAGAACAGCAAGTGCCCATTGATCTGAGATTTTTGTATCTGCATGCAAAAAAATATGCCAATTATATGTTCTCCAACTAGATGCAATTTCAACATTTGAAAAAGTATCCAAAATTTCTTAGTGTCTCTGTCTACCTGTGGTCAGTCCAGACTAGATATTTTACTCTTGTCTTTTCACTTTCAATAACTAATATTAAAGTAACTTTCTCTTCACAGGTAGCAGCCCAAGAAGGAAATGTGTTGGTTAAAGAACATCACTATGAGAAGGCTCTTGGTTATTACACCCTGGCTATCTTGACAAGCAAAGATAATCCAAGGTATCTCCGACAGAGAGCCACTTGCCTTACACACCTGAAAAAATATGACAAAGCTTTAGAAGATATGGAGAAAGTGATCCAGAAGCATGGCTGTAACAGTCTTAAAACACGCGTTGAGGACCATTGCTCAAAAGGACACCTGCTACTGTCAGTGTCTGAGGAGGAAGCAGCAGTTCAGCAGTATATTGAGGCGCTGCAGTTAGACGAATCTATAGCATTGTGCAGCATCATGAATGGCCCTGGCAGTGAAATTTTAACCAAAACATTTCATAAGATTGCACAATATAATTTTGAAATGCAGCATTATGAAGAGGCCTGGAAAATCACAGACTATGGTCTTAAAATTGATAAAAATACTGAACTTAAAAAGCTGAAAACAAGACTTAAGCGAGAGGCATCAAGCTGCAGCATACATTAATTTATCTGTTTTGGGAATTTCCAGCATCTGCTTTTCGTTTGAGAGTTTGTTTGTGAGGCTGCAAGAATAAGGGAAAGATGAGAAGCTCGTGATAAATATGCGATGGACATGGCACTGAACGTGGTACAGCAAGACTAGAAGTAGAAAGGTTCAGGGAGTGAAACAAAACTGACCAAGAGAGCTATGAGAAAAAGACAAACTGCAGTATTCAGTATACTTTAAAATTATTGTGGATGTATGTAAACTCCCCCTTGTGAAGAAAGCATTTTGTCTGGCTAAACTGAACTAATTCTAACACATGGGTTCCAATCAAAGTGAAGAAAAACATTCAAATAGCTTGCAGTTTATGAATAATAATCGTGTATTTCCTTGCTATTTATTTGGTTAGCTTTAACACATACTGTTCAATTAAGTAGCCTTATTTTTATGGGCCAGTCAAAAAGATCAGTCAAAAGTAACATTTGTAATATGTTTGTGAAGGACCACATGCATTACAACACTCGGACGACCCACTCCTGAATGGAAGGAACTGCCCTTATCATCTAGTGGATTTGCAACGGTCAGCACCAATACAGTGGAGTGGAGCAGTACAAATGCCAAGTAAACTGTTTTTCTGTCCCAGGGAACATAAATAATATGAAGAACGAGACTCAACAGAGATGAAACATTCAATCTAGTGACTAATACCCCGTTATCTGGGACACACGGGCAGCTCTACTCCAGACTTCACCTTGGACTTCAAGATCCCTGTGTCTCAGTTTGCCAGTGCAGAGTCATGGAGATAATCTCTCAGTGGGGGTGTCTACAAGAGCCCGCTAAATATCATCTTTCACACTGCTGGGTGTTGGTGCACAAAAGACAGCACTGGAGTATGAACTGATCAAGAAGTGGTCAATGTCCAAGCAGGAGGTCGGGGTTGGAGGCAACAGCCACGATGGTAATATGATTGCTCTGCAGTGATTCAGCACTCATTCTTCATCCTCCATGCTGGACAGCATGGGAATCAACATCTCCCACGCTCTGAGGGGTTTTGCCCTCTGTCACACATGTAGCTTCACCACTGTAAGGACAGCTAGGCTCAGGGGGCAGCACACAGTGCCGATATACCCAATTTCTGCGTGGTTTGGTGTTTCTTCTGCGCAATGGGAGTCATAGCTTAATTTAGAAGCAGCGTGCCTATGCTGTGCAAAAAGGAAACAATGAGGTGGGGCCCAAACCAACACACATATATTTGTTTTGACTGCTCCAAGTGAATTCCTCCCAGTGTTTTTGGAGTGTAATAACACAACCACGAAGACAAATAGCAACCACTACTGAAAACAAAGATTAAAGCAGTACTAAGAACTGCTTTGATTAGGATGAAAGGGAAATGGAACGTTTTCTTTTTTGTTACATTGTTTTCTGAAAGGCAACATTTTGTTACGTTGTTTTCTGAAAGGCAACATTCCTTCCAGAGTGAAACTTGATTCAGCAGCCATGCAATCAACCCACTAGGCAATGATACCATCTGTACCCTTCCATCTTTTTTTCTTCTCCGCATGCTCCTTTTTTTCTTCCCTAAGAGTGCAGGTAAGAGTGGGCTTCTTTCCTTTCAAATTCAAGAAAAGTTACTCTGCTTTTAATCTAGTGACACTGATGAATACTTTTTGCTCCTAATTGGTGTCAAGATGCTACAGGCTGATTTCTTTCCAAGCATGAAATTATATCCTTAAACAACTGTTGGCTATATTTGTAAGCTGAAAGAAATAACTTTGTTCATTTTTCTTCAAATAGCAATCAACAGATAGGAATTTCTGTGTCTCATGGTGAAATTTTTGAGCAGCAGTTGTTTAGGGCTTTGAATTTTTTTTTTTTTTACTTGATTTTTGTTTTGGATTTTTGATTGACTGGAATAATAAATCTCTTTACAGCTTCACATTGGCTATTCTGTTAGCATTCCCTCTTTTAGTTGCAGGTTTAGTTCAGTGTCAGTCAGCCTATAGTTTCTTTAACAGTTTGATCCTTCTGTGGCTTTTAGAATAGAATAGTTGTGGTTGGAAGGGACCTACAATGATCATCTAGTCCAGCTGCCTGAGCAGAAGTTAATGCATATGATTAAGGGCATTGTCCAATTGCCTCTTAAACACTGACAGGCATGGGGCATCGACCACCTCTAGGAGGACCCTTCCAGTGTTTGACCACCCTCTTGGTAAAGAAAATTTCCTAATATCTAGCCTGAGATGTCTATGTCTATACAATATATTTGCATTGTATAGACAATTGAGCAATGTATAGTTTCTTTTGCCACAATTAATATTGCTGAAGATGTTATATAAGCATGGAAATCTAGACACACAAAGAACAGACACGCAGATACTCAGCTGCACTCAAGTGAAATAACTTCATTACAGAGAGACCATGAATCTGGTTCTCTTCCCACTTATCTGTGCTGACAGATAGGAATAATATCAGTACAAAAACTGTATGAAGAAAGAATCAGTGTTTAAATCAAAGAGAAAACAATCCACATAGCCCCCTGGATTAGTGGCGCCTCTGCTGAGAGAAGCAGTACCAACTTTCTGAATTTTACTATATAGTTTCTGGTGAACTGAGGTTTTCTTAAAGCCCCAAGTCTCCCCATTGTGCAAACTTTTCTCAGGCCGCCTGATAGTCATGCAAAATATTGGGAAGACAATCTAGTTGTCCTGTCTCCCAGGCTAATATTCCATCCATTGGCCTGGGCTGCCTTTTAGGAAGTTTGGGGGGTTTGGGCATGTTTTGTTTTGTTAAGTAATATATATTCTTCTTTGCTGCTCTAAATAGAGCGCATTTATTGCTCCTAAAGAAATTTTTCTTTAAAAATAGGGGCCACATGCATCCCTGCAAGATTGCTACAGAGTTATGCTGAGGAAAAATTTGTTTTCAGGTGCCTATAGCCGCTGTTTCTTTAAGCACCAGGAAGGGACATAACTCCTTATCTATTCCTCATGGTCTAGATTAATGGCTCCTTCTCTCAGCAGATCCTAACTGTTCTCATCAGCATTTTTATTTAGTTCGTTTATCTTCTCTATCCTCTTTCTGTGCCCACTAAACTACTGTGATCAAAGTCCTTATCTTTGCCTGTGCGTAAGCTTCTGATTTGTTCTTTATTTCTCCGTTTTGTGCTTGCTCTTCCAACTAATTTCTTGGAATATCAGATAGATCTGTCTGATTAGTCACAGTGAGAGGGGTTTGATTAGCAGTGTCACTGCATTATGCATGCCTAGCACAGTTTCACACTCACCACAACCCATTCTGACACTCGTTTCCTGGAGTCCTGGGGAGCAGACAGGTTTAAATGTGACCCATCTATTTCAACTACTGCCCAGCCCGTGCACCAAATGGCCAAAAGCACCCCTCTGCCTGCACATCCACATACCTGCACCGCTCTGTTGCACTATGCTTTGCCAGAAGATGCTATCTTCCAAAAAACCAACATGCTGCAGTTTGCAGGGAAGGAGTCCTTTCTGAGTACCCAGCGTTTTTAATAGACGGTCACCATCACTGGCTTTAGTTATAACTCAGGCTAATTGTAATCTTTCATTCAGTGCTGGTGAGGCCATGAAGACCATTTAAGATGCCTTAATAGGATCACTGCACTTGAGTCTGGCTCTAGCCAGACTGCTGCTATCTCAAACAAGCTTATCACAGCAATCAGCAGAGAGGGCATTGTTCTCGCTAGGGAGCTAGCTGTGGCTGCTTGCCTTTCAGCCCAGTCTCCCCCGCCAGCAATAGTTATGCATCAGAAATCTACCAGTATTTAGCAACAAACATCTCCCTCCCCTCCAGGCTGATAAATCTCATTCTTATCTGTTGCCATACCCATGTCAGGGTCTGGGACCACTCAGCTGAATCACATACTTCATTATATACATGCCACTTTCTAACAGGGTATTGTTTCCACTTCTTCCAGATTGAAGAATCTGGGTAGAAAAGCTGCAGTGGTCATTTCTGTACGCTTCTTTAATATTAAGCTGCAATTCATCAAGATTGTGGAGCTGTTTCCAACTGCTTTGCGATGCATCCCTCATTCTGTGCATGCAGCCGATGGTTGAAGTTATTTAGGAAAGGAACTCTATTGTAACCTTTGCTCCTTGAAAGTCTCTTGTGCAACATGCTTCAGGACATATTCTTATGGCATGCCGCTGTAAATGTTAAATAACTGTGAAGAATTCAAGTATATTTATGTGAATCAACACTAATGTAATCAAGAAGAGAATATGGCCTGATAACCTATGTAAATAGTGGAACTGGATACCTGTTGATTTGTAAACCAGCTTGAAGCTACATTCATCCCAAGGAAAGATTAAATATCTGTAGTTTATTCAACTCTGAGCTGTTTACAGACACTACCAAATGTTTCTTTGCTCCCTATGAATTTTGTTCCTTTAAAGCATTCAGCAAACAGCCTGTAATAATTGCAGAAAGCCTACCGTGTTGCACATTGTTACCAGGTAATGAATAATGAAAGAAAACTTTGAAATCATGATCGGGAATGTTTCTACACAAACAATTGCCTGCCAGTCGTGCCTCTATGAAATATTCAACATTCCTTACAAGAATATAAAAGGAAAATCAGATGTGAGAATATTTGCATCACAAATAGTTACACAAGTAAAGTTTCTTGACCTTATGCTCTGCAGTCCAGCAGGCAAAGAACAGCTTAGAAATGATGGCAAATTGTTTGGAATTAAATATTCAACTGGAAGCTTGTCCTCAGAGTTCAGACAGAGCTAAACTTTGAACTTTTGTGATCTCAAAAGGTATTATTTCCTTTAAAAATCATATCCCTCCCATTTATTTCTCCTATTTCAGTTAGTTATGTGCTCCCAGGTACTAAGAGAACCTAAACACATCAGCCAACTTCAGCAACTGATCAAATGCATTTTTGAAGCTGACATATCACCTGGGAAGTCATCTTCCTGACTTTCAGTCTAATTCATTGTGCTTCCCAGATTTAGATCATGGTGGAAATTTGGATC